GATAAGAAGATGCTCGTCAATGAAATCAGAAAAATGATCCATTTCAGAAGACCTCCTACCTCCTGTGGACCTCTCTAATGGGGATCTAACAGAATTGAAGTCCCCACCCAAGCACTAAGGAAGAGACCGCATTTCTTGAGCATGATTAAGCTCCTCACAGAAAAAAGGCGATCAATATCAACAACTGGTCCATAGAACCCAGTGAAAACCTAACTGAAATTGTCCTCTTCCAACTTGAACTTGCAAGACACTGAGAATCTCCCCACCCACACATCCAACCGTGACACCCATCTACAATCCCACATAATTAAGATACCACCCGAAGTACCTGTAGCATTCAAAACCTCCCATTCTACAAACCTTCTTCCCCACAAACTCCTAACCACCCCATCCGTAATGGATGCCAACTTTGTTTCTTTCAAACAAACAACATGGGCCCCCCACTTCCTCAAAGCAACCTTTACAAACTCCTAACCACCCCATCCGTAATGGATGCCAACTTTGTTTCTTGCAAACAAACAACATGGGCCCCCCACTTCCTCAAAGCAACCTTAACCACCCACTTTTTATTCGGGTCGTTGAGACCACGAACATTCCAAGAAATAATTCGTAGCTTCATTAAGAACCAGATAAGATAATCTCCCCACCTCCTTTCTTCGTGCTCCGACTCCTAGTCCTTCCCCTCTCCTTCACCACCCCCTTCTTTCCTTCATTATTGACTTCAGAGATCAGATTCTTGATCTCCTGTGCCCCTTTCTAGGATGATAAAGGCCTCGGGTTCACTACCTCTTCAGTCACAGCAACCTCTCTGCCTTCCACTATAGCTTGAAGAATGGAAAGTGTTTGGTTACTGTTTCCCTCTGAAGAAACACCTAGCAACTCACTAGCAGCTCCTATGTTTTCAATCATCCAATCCTTACCCAAATCAACATTTGTTGTTGAACAACCAGATCTCTCAATTGCCAAAGGTTCCTCCTCTATCACTTCAGAAAAATCATTCTCCATCCAAGGTACAAACTCGTTAGAACAGACTTCTTGGATAGAAACCAAATCAGTAGCCACCTCCTCATTATAAGCCCTTCCAAAATCAAAAGGCTCTGAAAACGAGTCAGAATCAGTACAGTCTCCCAATCCACTGCTCAAGAAACTAACCAATTTTTTCTCCTCTTCCCCAACAGACGATGTACAATTAAAACCTTTTAAAGCAACATAAAGGCGAGGTTCTTTGAGCAGAGCCATGGTTGACTCATTAGACAACTGAAAGTGAAGGTCTCTTCCAACTCGAACCAAGACCCCATCTGATGAGTCCTGAACTTCACAATTGAGTGAATCTGCTTGGCCTGAAGTGACAATTTCGCTAGCAGTCGTCTCTGTAACCAGCCCAAACTCTTCAGCAGGTGCCGAATTCGGCACACGAGACATAACACAACTCTTCTCCATTGGCATCTCAACATCGCCCCTCACCTCTCCAGAAAGGGAAGAGGAAGAAGAAGGTGCGTTAAGGGAGCTCTGAGAATGAGAAACAAAGGACATACCTGGGTCAGTGGAGGTCCATTTCTGTTTATCTTTCCTCGACCATCTATAAACATGGTTGCTTCTGTGAGAATCCCGAATTGAAAGTCTAGAGCTGTTTCCCATTATCCGAGATGTAGCTGGAGGGGGCTTGATTGAAGAATCAACGCAACACTGTAGATGACGAAAACCCTTCTTATCTGTTCCCACACCAGCCTCATCTTCACTTAATTTCATCCATCTCCTTTTCTCCGGTGAGCTCCAGAATTTCACAGAGAGAACATGAGGAAGACGATCCTGTATATGATCAAAAATTGGTTTGGTGGCTGGACTGGGTTTTGTATTAAGAAAAGAAACTGATTTCTTATTATTGGCCCAATGAACCAATCTTTTTAAGTCTTCAAATGGCCCAATACGTAACTTAGTATTATTACGGCTGGACTTGGGCAAATGTGGGTTGGGCTTATCATTTAGGAAAGAAATGGATAGCTTATTGTTGGGCCTCCACATAACATTCCTTTTAAGTGAAGCTTGTGGTCCATAAGAACCTAAAGGCCCATTGTTCAACCCAGAAAAAAGAGGCCCACACTTACGCCCATTTGATTCAGCTGTATGAAAGGCCCTCGTGAAGCCATGTGGTTGAATACCATCAAGGCGATCAAGACGAGGATTTGAAAAGCATTGAAAATGGGCGTTATGCGTACGCCTCGGAAATCTGTCAGCCACACTTGCTTCTGGCGCGTCGGCGAATGCTCTTCGTTTTCCTTGAGAACTCAGTAGAGTCTGCAAATGCCGATGACACCCGCCGTTGAATTCTCCATTATACGGGAGGAGAGAAGCCTCACCAAACCCATAATAGGATTTTGGAAGAATGCAAGGTGAGGTTTCCTCGATTAACCTGATCTTGAAGGCTACTCGTTGGTCTTCAACAAAAACAAACTCTGGCACCACAGCTCCGGCGGAAACAAGAATGAGAACTCGTTCGCCTCTTGCTTGATCATCCACTTCCACTCCTCTAAACCCACCGTAGAGGTCACCGATAGCTACAAACAGTTTGTGACACTAGAGATGGAGGGGCAATGCGAACAACACCACCCTTCGTAACCTGTCACGATCAACCACGGCTGAGCAACCCACCGCGAAATCCCACTTGTCGATGTGTAAGGAAGCTTCACCCCATCTCTTCCTCCCCACATTCAAAACTCTGCAAGCTTCGGCCTCCGATGGTAGACGGAACAAAAACAGGCCGTCAGGTAAGGTTGAGACTTTTACTCCACACGAGATCTACCAAGATATCGTCACCCACTCCTCGATCCTCTTAATGCACCCCACATCACGATCAAATCGACCAACCAGACAAGATTTCAGTACGGATTCACGTTTTGCAATGCTCTGACGATCAACCCTAAGGACCACATCTCTATCAATTGAACAACTTTGGATCTTCCTGTGAAGATTGAGACATGGTAGGGTCGCTACTTTGAGATACGAACGTAGCATGATCCGTCAAAACCAAAATAGAAAAGAAACAGAATGATAGACGTCGGAGTAGAAGACTCCGGCGTCAAAAGAGAAAACAAAAGTTGAGAGGAAAGTCAAACATCAGTTAGCAGCCGGAATATTGAATCTGGTTGCACTCTGAGAAGCGAAGCTTAGAATGGTTTCTTCGCAGGCCAGAGGATATAATCTAGAAATAAGTTGAAAATGGTGAACAGTGTCACGTGTAGTTTGAGCAGTTACCGAGAGAGGAGGGGGGGGGGGGTGTTAGCAGTGGTGATCCTATGATAGAATATCATAGTTGTTAAAGGCGCCGAAGGCGCGCCTGAGGCGCCACCTTGGCGCCTTGAAAGGCTTAGGGCGAGGGCCTTGTAATAGGCGTGCGCTTTTGGGGCTTAGGCGCAGGGCTACAGGTGCGGCACAGGCGCGCCTGTTTGAAAACTTTTTTTTTTTGATTTTTTTTTGATTATTTTGGTTGCAAGTCTTGTGAGTTGTGACTTGTGTGACAGTGTGAGTGACAGACCCACGTGATATATTCAGATATGTTACAGTCACTTTAAGCTTTTATTAGTTGTCAAAAAAAAAAAAAAAAAGCCGGAAGCAAAAAGCAAAAGGAAAAGGGAAGAAGAGAGTAAGGGACAGAGAAGAGAGAGAAGTACAAGCCGGAAGCTCGTCGGATCTGCTGTCTGCGAAGCCCGGATCTGCAAAGCGCCTGTTAGTTCTTCTCCTTGCTTCTTCTTCTCCTCTGTTTTTTTTTTTTTCTTTTTTCTTTTTTTTTTTTTCTTCTTCTTTTCTTCAGTTCTCTTCTCTCGGCTCTCCTCGACTCTAGAAGTCTAGAGTCTTGCTTTTTATTTTTTATTTTTTTATTTTATTTTTTTTCTTTGAGTCGAGTCTCGGCTCTTCTTTATTTATTTTTTTTCTTCTCGGCTCTTTTTATTTTTATTTTTCCTTTCTTTTTCTTTTTCTTTTTATTTTTTATTTTTTATTTTATTATTTTTTTTTTCAGCTCTTTTTTTTTTTTTTTTGCCCTCTATTCTTCTTCTCTCGGCTCTCACCCTCTCTCTGATTTTTTTTTCTTATTTTTTTTTCCTATTCTTCTTCTTCTCGGCTCTCTCTGACCTTTTTTTAAAATTTTTTTTTTTTCTTTCTATTCTTCTTCTCGGCTCTCTTTGCTTCTAGCCTTCTGCTCTTCAACCTCTTCTTTTATTTTTGTTTTTTATTTTTTTATAATCTGAGTTGCTGGAATAAATTGTAGTTTACAACTTAAGGTGCTGGAATAAATTGTAGTTTACAACTTTACAATTTTGTGCTGGAATAAATTGTAGTTTACAACTTTACAATTCTCTGCTGCTAGAATAAATTGTAGTTCACAACTTTACAATTCTGAGCTGGAATAAATTGTAGTTTACAACTTTACAATTCTGTGCTGCTGGAATAAATTGTAGTATACATATCAGTTGGTATATGCCTATATGGTATCATGCAGTCCATATATGCATATATATTACATCTCATATAGTTGATAAATCTCATATAGAATTTATCATGCAGTGTCCATATATGCCTTTGATTCTTTGAAGCTCTGTAATTTTTTTTTTTTTTGTCAGAGTTGTTGTAGACACTGATTACATGATGCTAATCATGTTATTGTTTTGTTATCTTGAATTTGATTGTAGTTTGTACTTTAAAAGATGCCTAGTGATGGTTTAAGAAAGGATCCGGCATGGAATTACTCACATTTGGAGAATCCGAAAGATACAAATGCCGTCACTTGTAACTTTTGTGCAAAAGTTACAAAAGGAGGTATTTATTGGGCTAAGCAACACTTAGCTGGAGGGTATAGAAATGTGAGTGCATGCATAAGATGCCCATCTAGCGTTAGAGAAGAAATCAAAGAGTACATGAGTAAGAAAAAGGAAGAAAAAGAGCAAATGAATTTATTACCTAGTGATGAAATTAATTTCCTTGATGGAGAGGATGAGGATGATGTTATGGAAGCTAACAATCGGGGAAAAAGGGTAGCTAGTGCAGGTAGTGGCAGTGCTAGTGTCAATTCCTCAAAGATGCAAAAGCAAAAAGGACCGATTGATTTATATTTCATTCCCAGACCGGAAATTGTGGTACAAAAAAGAAAGGAGGAGGGAAAACAGACAACCATTAATGATGCATGCAAGAAAGAGTTGAGAGGAAGAGCGTGTGTTGCTTTTGCAAGGTGGATGTATGATGCAGGAATTGCATTCAATGCTGTTAAGTATGATAGCTTTGCCGAGGTTGTTGAAGCAATTGGACAATATGGTCCTGGCATGAAACCACCTAGTTATCACGAGGTGAGAGTTCCTTTGCTTAGGAAGGAATTGGATAATACCAATGCTTTGATGAATGACCACAGAGAGGAGTGGTCAAAATTTGGATGCTCATTAATGGCAGATGGGTGGATAGACAAGAGAGGGAGAACATTGCTTAATTTCCTAGTAAATAGTCCAAGGGGAACCATGTTTATTGAATCGATAGATACTTCTTCTTTTTCAAAGGATGGTGCAAAGATGTTTGACTTAATAAATTTGTGAACCGCATTGGAGTAGCAAATGTCGTTCAAGTCGTCACAGATAGTGAATCAAGCAATAAGTCTGCCGGTAAGAATGTTCAATGTTTATAACTTCAAGTGTATGTATATTCTTTACAAATATATAATTTAAATCTTTTTTGATTAATATATAATTTATATCATTTTTTCTTTTTTCCGTTTGGTTTCAAATAGGGAGGATGTTAGAGAAAGAACACCCACATTTGTATTGGACACCATGTGCTGCTCATTGCTTAGACTTGATGTTAGAAGACATTGGGAAAATACCGTCCATCTCCAAAACAATGCAGAGGGCGGTGGAGTTGAATAGTTATATCTATATGCGTCTAAAGTTGTTGAACATTATGAGGAACTTTACTCATAAAAAGGAGTTGCTTAGGCCCGCTAAGACTCGATTTGCTACATGTTTCATCACATTATCAAGTATTCACAAGCAAAAGAATAACTTGAGAAAGATGCTTACTTCAGAAGAATGGAATCGTAGTAAATGGGCGAAAGAGGAAGCCGGTAAAAGAGTTGCTTCTTATGTTTTGATGCCTTCCTTTTGGAACAACATTGTCTTTAGCCTTAAGGTTTCCGGTCCTCTTATTCCGGTTTTGAGATTAGTTGATGGCGAGAAAAAGCCTCCCATGGGATACATTTATGCGGCTATGGATAGGGCTAAAGAAGCCATTGCAAAATCATTTGGGGAAGTAGAAGACAAATACAAGGATATCTTTGAAATAATTGATAAGAGGTGGAATGTTCAACTTCATCGCCCTTTGCATGCAGCAGGTTATTATTTGAACCCAGAATACTTTTATTCAAATCCGAAAATTGAAGAAGATGAAGAGATTGCAAAGGGTTTGTATGCATGCATTGCAAGGTTAATTCCAGATATCAAAGACCAAGACAAAATTAGTGAGGAGCTGTCCTTATATTCTAAAGCTGAGGGCCTCTTTGGTAATCCCTTTGCTATTAGACAGAGAAATACACGAGGACCAGGTAAAGTGGTAAAGTATATTAAGTTAGTATAGCTAAGTGTTAAAATTATTTTGACAATAGAGTCGATAGAAAGATGAAGCTAAAGTTGCTAAACATCATTATTAATTTTTTTTAATAGTTAATTGGTGGGAAGCTTATGGCAAGTCAACAAAACTTCTCAAAAAGTTTGCTATAAAGGTTTTAAGCCTTACTTGCAGTTCTTCTGGTTGTGAACGAAATTGGAGCGTGTTTGAGCATGTAAGTATATACTATCTACTAACTAGGTTTGTAATTTAATTGTTGAAAGTTAAAATTTTAATTTTTTATACTTACTAGTTAAGGTTGAATTTATTGCAGCTTCATAACAAGAAAAGAAATAGGCTCGCTCATACAACTTTGAATGATTTAGTGTTCATCAAATATAATAGAGCATTGAAGCGTCGATATAATATGCGTGACACTCTTGATCCCATTTTACTCGATGACATTGATGAGAGCAACGAGTGGTTAACGGGGAGGATGGATGATTCTGATGCAGAACATGATCTAGTCTATGAAGATGATTCCTTGACATGGGGTGATGTTGCTAATTTTGCTGGTATTGGAGAGGCTAGCAGGCCGCAACGGTCTACTAGATCAAAATCTAGTTCTAGTTCACGGTTGCCAACAAAGGGAGCAAGAAGTTCTTCAGTTCGACTTGTGGATGAGGATGAGGATGATTCAGATGAGATAGAAGAGGATCCTGAGAATTATGAATCATTTAGTGACGATCAAAATGATGTTATGCTTATTGATGACGAGGATGATATTTAGATTCATTGGTGTTGTCTTCTTAGGAAGAAATGATGTTTATGTTTGTTTTAGTTTTATCTTATACTTCTCCTTAGTTGACTTTCGCATCTTTATGTTAATATGTTTGATTATTCACTGTTTTGAACTCAAGTACTTGATTTAATTGGTTTTGGCATCTTTATGTTGAATATTTAACTTAAGTAATTCATTTAGTTGACTTTTACATCTTTGTATATACTATTGCATCTTTAATACTTTATTGGGTGAGTTTTGTTTTTTTTTTTTTTCCGTGCGCCTTGCTTCAGTCGGGCGCGCCCCTCGCCTTGCGCCTCAGGCTCCAGGAGGCATTTGCGCTTTTGTGCGCCTTGAGCCTTTAACAACTATGTAGAATATTGATTGGAGGGAATTATGGTATTGATTTTAGAAATCCTCTATCAATGTATTTTCTATATTTATAACTTGTATTATTTCACCTATAAATAGAGGTGTTGATTGTAAACAATATTAAGAGAGAATATAATAACGGTGATATAATCCTTTGGGCTTTATGCGTCTTTCCTTGTGTTCTCCGTGTGTAATTCTCTCTTCAATTTTTATATCTTTCAATATGGCATCGGAACAAGTTTATCATACCCTACTTAATACTCTACTCGTATAGGATCTTCAGATCAATTTGTCTCGAATCTTCTGATCAACTCATCTCGGATCTTCAGATCAACTCGTTTCGGATTTTCGGATCAATTCATCTCAGATTTCCTGATCAACTCGTCTGAGAATCCCTGACAACTTAGTATTTAGTTTCAAGTTGGACACTTGACATAAGATATCCATGTATCAACTTGAGAAGGGAAGGGGGGGGGGGGGAGGATTGGAGGGACTTATGATATCATAGGAGTATTTTAGCCTATGATAGAATATTGATTGGAGGGACTTATGATATTGATTTTAGGAATCCTCTATCAATGTATTTTCCATATTTATAACTTGTATTTTTTCACCTATAAATAGAGTTGTTGATTGTAAACAATATTAAGAGAGAATATAATAAAGGTGATGTAGCCCTTTGGGTTTTGTGTGTCTTTCCTTGTGTTCTTCATATTTAATATCTCTCCACTTTTTATATCTTCCAACAGTTGCCAAAGCTCATTTTGTCAATATAGTGACATTTAAAGCACATGGTTTGTCAATGCCACTTTAATTTCTATCGAGGCAACATAATTCGCTTTGGCGAACAAATTCCTTTTTGATTTTATGTCAGCGAACTTTGTTTTTGTTTGTCATACTAGAGTTTTTACTGAGTTGCTCTAGTATCTACAACTCCTTTGATGTGGTTGCTTTGAGCTGTCTAAGTAGTTAATGTATAGTCTAGAAAGTTCAATTCTTGACATAATAATATAATTGGACTCTGGAGAGGGACCTATTAATTGAAAATTGTCCTCTTCCTTGGATAATTTCCAACACAATATCACATTGCAGACCAACTTTTGGTCTTTTTTTCTTTCAGTCCTTTTTTTTTTTGTTGGTTTCACTAGAGAAAATTGATTCCCCACTTGCGGTAAATGGCTCCACTCTTTCCTGATGTCATTATCATCATCTTCTCCTTTATCCCTATAAATGGGGTCAGCCACATGAGTTCTCCCTTTTCATTGATCATTGCTAATTACTTCATTCCACTTGACTTTTGGCCGGCCTTTTTGTCTCTCATCTTGTATGCAATTTAATCTATTATTTCTTACGGGTACATCCATGGGTCTCCAGGGTTGTAATCGAGCTGTGCCTAGTATTGGAGTGCTCAGGCTTAGTTCAGCAAATAAATAGATGTGTTTGAACTTGATTGGAGCTCGATCAAGCCTAGCCTACCCATGATCGAGCTTGGCTCGGCTGTATTTTAGTGGGTTTGATCTCGATAACATGCATTAACCATTGATGAGACGATAGGTGAGACTAGATGAGACAAACTTGATAACGTGCATCAACCATTGCTAGATCTCCATCGATTCATGCAATCCAAAATAATCCCCGTTCAACATTTATGCAAATTTTAAATAACACAGAGAGAGAGAGAGAGAGAGAGAGAGAACTTGAAAGGCATGTAGTTGCAGGTGCGATTTAGAGCTAGCTTCATGGTTGCAAGTGTGATTTGTCGGCTTGATGTGTCCTAGGCAGCGAGGGCTTGCCGGTCGCAGCAATCTTCTATCGCGTTGGCGTCTAGGGTTAGTCCGTGTGAGAAAGAGAAGATTAGGGTTTGGTGCGACATGGTTACCGACTGGAAGATCGACTTCCAACATAACCTAGAGGCAACCAATACTCATATGGCTTCCTCTTTTGATGATGTCCAACAAGGCTTACTCTCCTTGAATGACAAACTCGAAACTCTTACCCAGATTTTCACTCTTTCTACTCCTCCTGATTCAGCCCTTCAGGACCAAATAAATCAAATGCAGATCGATTTAGCTAAACTACAAAAGGTTAAATTATCTGATTTATATCCACCAGATCCACCCGATCCTCCATCGTCGGTTCCTTCTGATCCTCCTCCAACATCTACAGACCAACCGTCTGTTAAAAAACCAAGCCGTTATAAAGTCAAACCTTTGTTTTACGGCCATGAAGACACTGTTGAAAACATTAAAGTTTTCTCAGTACCCTCTTCCTCTTCTTATCGCCGTGATGACTATGATAGCATCATAGATCAGCTTAATTGCTTACAGGCCCTATACGTCAATCCACAACTTACGTTTGACGAAAGTGCTCATATCATCACTCGAATAAGACAGATCTCTTTGCAAAATGAGAATCTCCTTACTCATTTCGGTTACCCCATAAATGAGAGTTCAAGTTCCTCTGACGAAGAAAATACTTCTGACGATGAACACGTCTATGCCCTTTCCGACCATTCTAATTCGACCGAAGAATTAGATGAGACTATAGAAGCTGACCCTCTTCCAGTATCTTCCTCTTCTTCTGAGACAACTATCAAAGAAGCCCCAAGAGGAATGGGCTGGGTTGTTTTAGGCTCCATCTTAAGTGATTTAAGGCCCAAATTAATTCATCTATCAGTATATATAATTAATATAAATTTATATATTTTCAAGCTCAAATCGAGTAGATTATCGAGCTTGTTCTCGAAGGCACTCGTTAACTAATGAGCCGAGCTTGGGACTGTTCAAGTTCGCCTCGTTTAATAATTGAGCTTGAAAATTGTGTTTGAGCTTTGTTCATTTATTAAATAAATGAACACGAACCGAGCCCTTGTCGAGTTGAGCCCAAGCTGATCGCAAATAGCTCGGTTCATTTACAGCCCTCTCTCTGTTGTATATGACCATACCACCGAGCTCTACTTTCTCTTATTTTTCGCTAATGGGGAATAGGCACCACTTTTGCTTTCCCCCTCATGTTGATTATTATAAATAAGATATTTTCTGGTCACTCTGAACATCGATCTTAATATTATTATTTCAGCTACACAAATGCTTTGTTCGTTTTTTTTTTTTTCAGTGCTCAACATTCCACTACATATAATATAGTTGGTTGAATAACCGTCTTATAAAACTTCCTTTTAACTTATGCGGTATTTGTTTGCCACTTGAACCGCCACTGGATTGTCTTCACTTCGTTCGTCCTGCTTCAATTCTACTTATTAAATCGTAATCTCTCTCCATCTTATTGTAGCATGGACCCTACATACTGAAAGTCGGTATTTTTAGTTAGCTTTTGGCCTTGAATTGTGATAATTATATTATCATCCTCTACTGCATTATTAACTTACATGCCATGTATTTTGTTTTCGCTATGCTAATTTTTAGACCTTTCATTTTTAAGGCATTTCTTCACGTTTCTAATTTTATTGCTAAGTCGTCTTTAGAAGTATCCAAGAGTACTATGGGATCAGCAAAAAATATGCACCAGGGAAGTTATTCTTGGATGTCATTTGTTATTTCATCTAAAACTAGGACTTAACAATGAGCCTTGGTGTAATCCTACTTGTATATAGAAAACACTAGTCTCTCCACACACAGTACGAACCCTAGTCCTTTTCTCACTATACATATCCTTAATAAGAGTTATGTTCTTTAGGGAGTTATTTTCTCTATAGAACCCACAAAATTACTTCACTAGGTAACTCTATCGAATGCCTTCTCAAAGTCTATGAAAATCATGTATTTCTTTTATTAATTTTTTTATGCTGCTTAATTAAATTCCTCTATTATTTTCCCAATTTTGTATATGTCCTTTAATTTTATAAATTGGTACTATAGTACTTCTTCTCCACTCATTTGGCGTTATTTTTTCTAGAAGATTTTTTTTAAAAAAATAACTTCATTAAACATTCAATTCCTACTTGTCGCAGAATTCTCCATACTTCTATAGGTGTTTTATCAGGTCCTATGTAAGATTCGTTATTATAAGTTCTCGTAGTGCATTGCTCAATTAGTGATTTTTGAAAGTAATTTTTCCGTCTTACTAATATGTAGTTATCTTTAACTATATTGTTTGATCTATATTCTTAATACACTTAACTTGATCTATATCTCTAGTCAACCTTTCTCTATAATTCACTAACTTGTAAATAGCCTTTCACCCTCTTTAGTGCCTAATTTCTTGTATAAGTTAATTAATGCATTTTTTTTAGCTTTAGTTATCATCTTTTTAGCTTAGCTTTTAAGTTCTTTGTATTTCTATCAATCTTCGTTATTACTTTTTCGCCATTTTCTAAAACTCGTTCTTTTACTTTTTATAGGTGCTTGTATTTTATGACTCCACCATCATGTTTCTTTCTTTATAAATTTTTTACCTTAGATTTCATCGTTCCTGTCTGATGTTGATCGAGCAAAATAAGCAGCACTAGTTGACTTAAGGGTCTGCTCTTGATCAATTGGGTAGGGCTATAGCTAGTAGTGCTCTCCAAAGGCATGTCTGTAAGCCTAGGGAATCTCATCTTTGTCTGCATTGATTTTTTAAAATTCAAATAGAGAAAATGTATAGACTTATCAAAAAAAAAAAAAAAAAAAAAAAAAGAAAGAGAAAATGTATAGAACTGAAATAAAAATGATGAGCAATTAGAAATTTCAAAAAGGGGATAAATGTGACAGTGTTGAACTTAAGTTGACTACTTTGGAAATGGAAAGAGCAGTGTGACTGTTGGTGTTATTAAAATGTAGGTGTGGGTTTTTAGCATCAATATAATTTTGGTAATTTTATGATGGTTATTTGAAACAATTTTCTCTTAATTTTGTGATGCTTACACATATTTGGGAACCTTTTAATGTAAAAAGTCAGTGCGCGCGCATACACACACATGCACGTATATCAATATATCTCATGAAGGAAATAAATTTAGATCAAGGTTATTTTTGGTAATTTGACATTATAGAAATTCAGGTGGGGTTTAGTCTTTTTGCTTGTATTTGTTGGGTTTCTATTTGATGCTAGTTGGGTTACTCATGGGTGACTTATTACATAGTGGTTTTAGAATGGCATTCTGTGAGAATGTTTAGTGTTGGCAAATTTTGGTGTCAAAACTTGTGAATTGAGTTGTAATTTTTGGTTTACATTGAATCTCGATCTCCAAAGCTGAACAACAAGTGCCTCAATTCCTTAGGATCAGATTTAGACATCACATAGAACAGGTAAGAGAGATTCTGAAAATTGGATTAACTTAACAAAATCCTCATTTCAGAACGCTTCCCAATCGATTGGACACCATTCTGGATATGTCCACAATACACACCAACTGGTTGGGATTTGGCCCAACTGGTTGGACACTGACGAATTGTAGTGTACTTCCCAACCTGTGACACCCAAGAGGTTTATAACTTCAATTTTTCTGATCTAACTTGGAGTCCTCTTTCAACCCAAACACAAGAGACGTCCTAGCATATTTTTAAACTTCTTTTTCATCAGTTTTAAGGACTTATGCCCATAAAAACTTCCCTCCTAGCTTGTACGCATACCGTACTCAAATAGAAACCCCAGTGTTAAAGCTTAGAGCGAGTTTTTGAGAGAAAAATCAGTCATATTTTTATATTTTTGAGAGCACACACGTGAGCATTTTAGAGTGATGCTCTTCTTTTGATCGATGATAGTATGAGCTATTTACGGATTATATAGTACAATAAGAACATCAAATTTTTTCTTACATCTTTGCGTTAGTGAGTGAAAGGAAAGCGAGTTCAATCACTTGGAGAAGTGGATCATGGTGAGGTAATTGCGTTAGCGTGAATCAATGTTGCTGCTGCTTCTGAAGGCACTGGGATTGGAGGACACAGAGAGTTAAAGGTATATCAATGGCAGGTGAGTCCGAAGGCTCTGGAATCATATACAGTCGTGGAGATTAGTTCCGAAGGTACTGGAACTCATTGTACTCTTTCTTAGTATATTGGATTGTTTTGCCAGAGACGGTCAGTCTTAGTGGTTTTTCCTAGTAGAGTTTTCCATGTAAAAAATCCTGGTGTCATCTCTTTCTGTGTACTTTATTTTTATTGCTTGTGTGTTGATTGATTTATTGTGATTGAGTTAACATTGAAAATAATCGTAAAATCAATCCAAAGAGTAAACTAGATCTATTCACCCCTCTAGGACCTTTGTCTGAGATCAAACTTCCACACCACTTTCGTAATGTGCAACTCACACATTCTTATCTCTTGGTGGAAGTTCCTTGCCTATAGTTCTACTTTTGACTTTTGAACTATTGACCCAGTTTGCGATTAAAGTATGGTGGATTGTTTTGCCAGAGACGGCTAGTCTTTGTGGTTATTCCTCGTAGAGTTTTCCACGTAAAAAATCCTGGTGTCATCTCTCTAACTCTACTTTAATTTTATTGCTTGTGTTGATTGATTTGTTGTGCTTAATTTAGTATTGGAAATAATGGTAAACTCAATCCAAGGAATAAAATAGACCTATTCACCCCCCTCCAGGTCCATTGTCTGAGATCAAATTTCCACATCACTTCTGTACCGCACAACTCACACACTCTTATCTCTTGTGGAAATTCTTTGCCTATAGTTCTACTTTTGGTTTTTGGTATTTAGCTTTTCCTTCGCTTCTTGAGGTGAACTATTGGCCCAGTTTGCGATTCCTGTGACATTTGTTTCTATCAAGGGGTAGTTATTGGTCATGTGTAATATTTATTGATTTGTTCTTTTGCACAAATGATGTATCCTTTTGTCAGTAGCATCATTTACTAATAGATTCTTTTTGGTTATGATCATTCCTGAACATCCTTGTTAGCTTAAGGTTTGCATTAGCCTTTGCAGTGCTAGTGTGCATGATATCGTTTTCTCTCTGATGTTACCTACACTTTCTTGGCACTCGTTGCCTTCAATTTATCCTTTCATTCTTCAGGCTGAAGTCCTACTTCTCCAAGTATGTCTTACTAAGATATCTACATGATATTTCTTTTAACTTGAAATAAAGTTATTACACCCCTAAATTTTCTTTAGCTTGGAGAATATCTTTATAGGAGACTAGGAGCTCACAACACAATGGTAGTTCAATTTGAGCAGTTAAGATATTTGTTGTGAAGGAGATAATTGTGACAGATTATAGAAGTTTTTCAGGCAGATATGAGAAGTTGCTTTTGTCAACAACCTAAGGTTCAACATCCTCCAAAATAGAAACCAAAACTCTCTTTCTTCGTTCTCCCTATCCTCTCTCTCTCTCTATTATGGCCAAGTCTAGGATAACATTGAATTGGGATTGGATATGGGGTTTGAAATTTGGTTGTGGGGCTATGTTTGGGTCAGAATCGACCTAAACCTATGTTGGAAAGGGGCTGGACATTCTTAACAAAGTTTTTACTACGTATTTTTTTTTCTTTCTTCTTTTATAGGTAAGACATTCTTAACGATAAGATAGATGGTGAAGTTTGATATGATATTGGCATCTGTTCTTTATTTGATGACCATTTTAAAATCAGCATGATTGGGGAAGTGATTGCAATATCTAACACAAACATGCATGCACACTTGTGTCTTTAACAAATTGAGTTTGGTTTGGTCAAAACAAGCATTAAAAATGAAAAGGAATTGAACTGAAATGGAGACAACGGTTCTCTGAGTTGGTCTTGGTTTCTCTTCCTTGTACAGCCAAAAGTGAAATTGCTAATATCATTGCTTATAATCTCTCTGTTGTAAATCCTGAATAAATGTAGTTTACGTGTCAGAGTCATTTAAAGACATTACATGTATCTGGTGATTTACTCTTGTACTATTTGGAAAATGAGTTGCCAGCATGGGTGCTCAACCAGGTATGGATTTTGACAATATTGAATATGACAACCTGTTTATCATGAGTCTAATTTTATTCTTATCATAAGGTTCCTTTTGGGCCACAGATTTTTTTTTTTCTCTCTACAATCTTTCTACTGCAAATGGCAAGGAGCCATCGATTAGTACAGATCTAACAAAACAATGGATGTGGGCTTCTCCAAGTCATCCCTACAGGACTTAAAAATTGAAGAGAAAAGTGATATGTTTATCCTTTAGCTTCTAAAGAAGTTGAGGAGCACATTTGGCATGAATCCCTATATTTTTATTTTGCTCAATGACGAGTGTGGGCTTTAATTGCATAATAATATTCCCCGAACACTAGGTTTAAATTGTTATTGTGTGATTTTTCTTCTTCTTGTGTTTGATTTCTTTAGGGAATACCAAGTCTATTTCCCTTTTTAGCATATGAAAACTAGCCATGTTAGAACTTTTTTATTGAACTCCTATCTCTTGCTTGTTTCAGCGGTGGGCGTTGGGGCAGGGGGTTCGACTCTAGAGATGTTTCTGCTTTACTTGATTATTAATCTGACAATGCTATGGAAGTTGAAAATGAGTCACATCAGTCATGCTACAATTTGGAAATTAATACTACTGTTGCAAAATTGCTTGTGCCGAAGTATGTTTTATTCAACATTTTTTGTTTGGCAGGTATCGTGCCATTACTAGTGCTTACTACCGAGGAGCTGTTGGTGCGTTACTTGTATATGATGTCACTCGACATTCTACGTTCGAGAATGTTGGAAGGTGGTTGAAGGAGTTAAGGGACCACACAGACCCCAATATCGTAGTAATGCTTATTGGCAATAAATCAGATCTCCGACATCTTGTGGCAGTTTCTACGGAGAATGGTAAATCTTTAGCTGAAAGGGAGTCCCTCTTCTTTATGGAAACTTCTGCCTTGGAAGCAACCAACGTGGAAAATGCTTTCATGGAAGCTCTTACTCATATATACCGTATAGTTAGCAAGAAGGCAGTTGAGACTGGTGATGAAGGAGCTCCTTCGGCCGTTCCATCTAAAGGAGAGACGATTAATGTCAAAGACAATGTGAATAGAGTTGGATGTTGTTCAAGCTAGGATTTTGTATCTCAAGGATGTGGCCAGTAGTTCTCTAGGCATGTCCACGATTTACTAACCACGTGAACACCAGATGGATTATTCAGTTTTAAGCATGTAATTGAATAGGAGCAAAGTGTGGTATAGTTAAAGCATTAATCTAGTGGGAAAATGTAATATGTTAGGTATGCTTTGATATGTTTGAATATTTCTTGAAAAAGTTTGTTTCTGGAAATTTATTGCCGAAATGAACAGTTTATAAACTTGACATTTTGTGAAATTTATATTTTTACTCATAATTCCAGTATGGAGGCTCTGGTTGAAACATTCCAACTGCCTTTGGTGTAGACTGCAAAATTTGGCGAAGAGAATTGTACACCCTTGTCAAATCCCTTAATAATTGTGGTGGCTGGAATGTGGAATTTGGGTGCAACTGTCCAAGTTTAGGATCATTTGGAAACTGATACTCGTGGTATGTTTATTATTGCTGACCATTTGCTAAAGATGACTAGTATCTTGCTAATACAATTACTGTAGCAACTCAGGGTGCGTTCTGGAGTTTTAGAATTGTAATTTGTGGATTTTTAAAAAAACAACCAAGAAAAATGAGCCAATTTTTTTTTTCAAATTTCATCAATTCCAAGTTCAAAACTCCAATTTTATATTGTCGAACACACCCTTAATGTTATGTGCAATTTCAAAGTGATCAACAAATCCAAAGTGATCAAGTTCTCAAGGCTCATTTGGATGGAATTGAGAACTAGAAAGTGATCAACAAATCCGAAGTGATCAAGTTCTCAAGGCTCATTTGGATGGAATTGAGAACTAGAAAGTGATCAACAAATCCAAAGTGATAAAGTTCTCAAGGCTCATTTGGATGGAATTGAGAACTAGAATGGAAGGTGGGGAGTATTGAAAGAAAAATGAAAATAAATTATAAGAAAAATGAGGGAAGATGCCATTCTTTTCCTTTCTTCCTACTTATTCATTGGAAGATACACCAACGTACATATTTAACTTGGTTCCTTCTAAATCGGTTCTTAATTAAGACACTTGCACATTTAGGGATGTCCTGAACACGTGCAGAATTGGATAAGTTGGAATCAAGATCAGAGATGATATAATAAATCCTATTAGAATCAAGATCAGAGATGATATAATAAATCCTATTAAACTTATCTGTAGTGGAGAACGAATCCATATTATCTTTTGTGTGTGTGTATATATATGGAAAATACTTGCCAGCTCAAGGGTGAGTTAAAAATTCTACTTACCATCTTCGTGACCTAAAAATAAAATGACAAGTGTCCTATCAATTAAAATAAATAAAAAATAAAAATCTGAAATGCATTCGGATTAAACCCAAATAAAAACAGGATCCAAATTGAATCCCTAATTCCTTCCCCTCTCTCTCACTATTCTAGCCAAAGACAGCTGAACAACCTCCAATCCCCTCTCAGAAATGCTACCCTAGCAGAAGGCTGCGAACAACCCCCAAATCACTCTAACTCATCGGAGACTTACAGTCCCATTAGGCTTTCCACCATCAATGCTTCACTACCGACACCCAATTTCCTGTTGCTACTCCTTTTCGGTTCTCCTTTGTTTGGCATCTGAGAAAGTTTCTGGAAAATTAGAAGAGAATCAATTTCTAAATCTGATTTTTTTTTTCCCGTAGTAATCGCTTCAACTGATATTACGCTTGTTTGGTTTATATTTTCCAACGTCTCAATACAATGTAAAACAATTAAAATTTCAAAAAAAATCTCACCTTTTTTCAGGAAACGAATATAGCTAAAGTTTGAATACTTAGAACTTGATATCTCATAACTGGTTCTTTAAGGTTGAACCTTAAGCTTTTTAAAGTATTAGCCTATGAAAATAACACATCAGATGATAGGAAAGTGTGGGGTAGAGCCAAAAAAAAAAAGTAATTATACAAGTAATCACAATGCATCTCATTCTTCTGTCCATAAATATCTAGATGATGGTGAAGAGTTTGGATAAAATTCAAACTATTAGGATCCATCTTCTCAACCACAAAATGGCCTAACGAGACTCATCCAACAGAATTTACAAGTTGTCCGTTGTCTTCTACAAGGGTAGTAAGAGAGATTGCAGTCTTTAGTTGTCTCTGGCTAGAGCAGTGTTAGAGAGATGGGGCAGATAATTAGGGATTTAATTTGGAACCGGTTTGCTATTTGGTTTATGTTTACTCCATTATTTTTGTTCAATGGAAATATGACAAATGGCGAGTTTTAGCGAGCTTGCCATATTGGATTAATACACTAATTATCCAACAGAGGAAGGCGTGACATGGAATTAATAGCTTTTCTTTGGCCGCCATGATAGCATTATCTAAAGGTCCTGGGAGCATGATGACACTGGTACTTAAGGTAGGAGTACTTGAAGATTTGGTGGCCTTGATTACTTTTTAAAGATCGGCCAAAGCTGGAAGGGCACTTCTTTGTACCGTGAAAGAGGTTGAGGTAGACATTGAAGGAGTGGCCTGAAGCAAGAACAAGTTTGTATTAGAAAGAAATAAAGAAAGGAGGCGAAGTAAAAGTATAAAGACTTGCCTCTGGGATGGAAGGAACGTGGCCCGTAAAAGTTCCACCAGTTCCAGAAGGAATAGATATTCCAGTAGTAGAAGTTGGAATGGCCAGACTTTCATCTTTTTTGCTGGTCAAACTTTCCATGATCGAAGCTCGAAGGGCTAAATCTTCTCCTTGTGCAATTTGTTAGTCCAGATGGATATTCATCAAGTTGTGTCCCATAGAAGAGCCTTGTTGGTTAAGTTGGAAGAAAGTTACAAACATCGTAAAGTGGTGAAACTGGAAAGGGACAAAGATTGAGACTTACCAAAATAAGTTCTTTGGATGGTTTTGATTTTTTGTGTTTTGGGGAGTATCTGGGCTGTTTAAACTCTTCTGTTTTGTGTAGATTAGGCATGATTTTTCTTTTTACCTTTCCAACAATCTTTCCAGAGGGGCAACGCACTTTGAGGGCTTTGCTGGAATGTTGAGTAGCGGTTTGTCCTTTGTAAATACCAACTTCACCATCAGAGGAATCTTCATCAAAAGAGGAGAATTGTAGCTGAAATTCTTTTTTGACAATAGCCAGTTCCTGTAAAAGGAGATGTAAGTAAAGTCTAGAATATGGAAAAACTAAGTCCAACCACATTGAAGTACTCTAGAGGTTTTTCCTTTTCCCTTTGCTTTGTACAAAGCACCCTCCTCCTCTTTTAGTATTTCTTCTTCAACTTCTTCTTCCTCTTCTTCATCGTCACTTGAGGAAAGACTTTCGATACTTACATCACCATTTTCGGCGACACCCTCAATTTTGTTAGTTATTGCAGTGGTTTTCTCCCCACCTTCATCTTTTTCACTTTCCTCTAGTATTTCTTCCTCTCCATCTAAAATTACCAAATCTCAGAATATAGAAGATTGATGGAAGTTAAAGGAAAAGATGGAGAGATAGAATTTATAGTAAAATGAATGTTCAACTAGAGACAAGGGTTTGAATGACGCCAGTATGGAATCACAGACAGCCTTCTGATTTTTTGTCCTAGTAGAGGAAATATAAGCTGACCACCATACATCAAATTCACTGGTTGACCGAGGCTTGCTAGTATGGCCTTGGAAATTAAAAGCTGCTTTTTCCGCTACATAAGCCTTATTAATTGCTGCAAATTGCTCAGCATCGGTAAGCCTTACTTGAAGATTAAAGAACCTCTTATAGGACTTGTAGGGTGGCAAAGGAATCATTTAGGTAAAACCCATTTGCCTAGCCAGTTGAGCTGGATTGTAAAACTCAACACCGCAAAAGCTATTTTTCAGAGTGGGCTGGGCAGTGCTATAATGGAGATTACGGGTAAGAAGAAAGCTAGACCAAATATTTTTTCAATCTTCAGAATGTTTTTTGGTAGACACTCTAGGAGATGGAACCAACCAAGATGGCATGCGACCAATGGCAGTAAATGGATCAAAGAACCTATCATCACCAGTCTCACATTAATTGTAGAAATATTCGAAGTTTTCAGTAAAGCTAAAAGGAGAAGAATCTGTTGTTCCCAAAGAATGGCACAGAAGAGATTTTCCAGTTGGAGTGGCTAGGGGTGAAGTTCTATTTTGGAAATACACTTTAAGGCACATCTGGAATAACCAGAAGGGACCTTGAAACTTTGAAAACGTTAAAGCAAGCAGGTCATGTAGACCTCTGTATAAGTGAGAGAGCATGAGAGGCGTCAGTGCCAAATCTCCATTTTTGGCTAAGGAAATAGCTACTTGAACAAAGTCCTTTGTAACTTGGCCAGATGGAACATATAATAAATGGCCAGAAAGCCAACAGATCTGGAAAGCAATGTGTTCATCTTCTAGAACCGGGCCGGTTTTCATGCAGTGTTTGATGAAAGGAAGATGAGAGGAGATAAATTTCTTACTTCTAGTGGTTTTGGTAGGGAAAAGGAATTGCTCAATGAAGAGGGTGGCACTTGCATCATCTCCACGGGGTTTAAGACTTGTAATGTAACAAATATCTCTCAAAGTAGGGGGCATCATTCCACATTTAAGGTGGAGAGAATTGGTGGTTGAAGACCAAAAGAAAAGAGCTGGGAAAAGGTGATTTGGATAAAGCGTAATGGAAGACTTACTAATTTGAATGATGTCAAAGATGTCCTATTTTTTCCATTGAGAGGAAATCTTTTCATCTTTGGAGAGACGAATCACCCGGGAAGACCAAGATGAATGGTATGTTGGCTAATTTTTTATTCTAAGAGAGGGCTTCACTTTCTTTCCTTTCTTTGAAATGAGGGGAAATTTTGAATCAAAGGGGAGAGAAGACTTACTAGAAAGGGTAGAATTTGGCCAATTTAGAAGGAGCTATGTCAGTAAAAGCTAGACCTAGTCTAACTGAAGAGTCTTTAAAGTGAACCAGAGGCTCAAGATGAAGCCTAACAGGGTTTAAGGACTTCAACAGTACTTGAACTTGATGGCTATGGCTTCGAGTCTTGATTTTAGTTTGAATAGAACGGGCTGGCAGAAAAGAGCTAGTGGTTTGTTTAGAGGGTTTCTTAGGAGCCATAGTTTGTGATTCTCGCAGACTAAGTTTGCTTTTCCTTTAAGGTTTTTTGGGTGGAGAGGAAGAAAGTAGAAGAGAGAAGAATAGGGTTTTTTTATGGTTAAGTGGTGAGGATGGAAGATATATATATAGAAACGATGAGGGAGGTATTAAAGTTCAGATACGTTTTTCTAGGATTGGTAGTTGGGGTTATCGAAATTT